TCAAACAGATATCATTGACGATTTGAGAACGCATGATGCAACGAATATTCATAAAACCAGAGACATATAATACAATTTATGTCTCTGATAAAACCGACACGATAACCGTTTCCATCTCAAACAGATCGGGTACAGAATCTCTTGAGCCTGACTTTATGGAACCAATATCAGTGGTTAAACAATTTGACAGCAGCCTGAAGTATGCCATAGTTTCTATAAAAAGTTGTGAAGACAACAAGGATGAAACCACTTTTCCATGACTTCATGGATACCTGTAAACACGCCAGGAAGGGCGCATTTGAAATTAATAATCGATAGACAATGCCAAATCTATAAGAAGCCACAGAAACTACACAAAGATGTAAAGAAAATGAATGGTTGGCTTGTAAAAATAAATATACTTTCTCTATGTTAAATCTATCTTCTATTGCAATGAGTATGCTCCTTTAGGATAAGGGGAGCTACCCCACTCATTGCAATTCTTCTCCCTCTTACAATATTAAATAAATATACCCAAACAGTGTGGCTTGTGTGGATTGAATTAAAACATGTCCTTGGGAGCTATGCTGCCAATTTTTTATGCAGTCAAAACATTTCAGTACAGACCATTTACTTTTAAAGGGGTGCTATTGATTTCACCCTGAAGTCTAAGATTTTTTTTTGTTTTAATTAAAGCCTGATCACATCAACATATCTTTCAAAATTTAACCTTATTACATATAATTAAATATTGTTAGATTTATGAAAACAGTCAGATGTCAAATATATTTTTTCAAGTTTCCTTTTTTTTTTTAATTGAGAAAGATTCAATGGTTAATTTTTTTTATTGATATCACTCTTACATTGTCTTATGAATCTTTGATATCTGCATTTTCCTAATGAAAATACTCTACTCATGAAAACTTTCTAGTAAAGAAGCATATGTCAGTAAACAATTTCTTTAAAACAATTCTAGTCATTCCTTGTTTATAAGATCTTATAAGTGTTCCAGTACTAGTATTTAATAGTGTCATAAATTGGATAATCACACCATGTTATAGTTTCAATTTTGGTTGAAAAGATTTTATCTGAAAATGCCTGTTCATTTCATGTTGGTTTTCAGTGTTTGTTGTTTTAAAAAAATTTCTTCACAAGAAACTTGGTTTGTGTAACTGCTTGTTTAAACTTCATTTTGGCTGATAAAATAAAATATTTTTCCTACCTACCGACCCTTCAGTCTGAAGGTACAGTCGGAAAACTGCAAACAAACATATTTTTAAGGTTGGCCCCAGTAATTGTTCAAATTCTTGTCATCTGGTTATTATGAATAGTTGTCTCATTGACAATCATACCATCATAATTTCCTTTATTTTTTTATTTCGATTTATATAGAAAAATATTACAGGAATGAACAAAGATATTGGACAGTACAATAGAGTGCACCAACCATTAATACTCGACTCATAAGAAGACGTACAAACAAGGACAAAATATCAACGAACAAAATATGGTCTAGATAGCCTCTATTGGTACAGACACACAAAGTTCGGTCGTCAATCCAATTTACTTGGCAACCAATCCCCATTTTCCTATCTAGACCATGTATATGAAAAGTCTGAGACAAAGTAAACGCCTGCACAGGCCCTTAAAACCATTTGTTTAGCAGTCTTGCAGTATGTTTTTCTATTGCGAATTTGAGTAACATGCTTTTATATATCTAAGCAATAAACATAATTTATATGCAGGCAAAGAGAGTATATTGATGTCCATGTTTACGAATTTTAGTTATTTCAAAATTTGAATTAATTGTTTATATATCTTGGTTTGCAGATATCGAAAAAGCACAAATATATTGATTAACAGAAGAGCTAAATCAAATATATGATGACAAATTTGATCACCAGGCAATTCAAACATGTTGTCAGTGAGAAACTACGGCATGTTAACTTGTTTTTTAATGTAACTAGTTTTCGATTACTTTTAACTTGTTACAATATAATTGGTATTGAAGCATAGATAGAAGTTTTTCTTGATTGTCTTTTATTTTGTACAGCTAATAAGTTTTTGTTAATAAGTGCTCCTCTCCACATATTGCATTTCATTCAAAATTTTGATCCAATTGCAATTTATTTTATCAAATCAAACTGTTCACACTGATGAAGAAGAAATATAGTCAAGTCATCAAAGTTAGTAGTGCAAAATAAAAAATAAAGTATATTTACAGTCAGTTTTAGGTAGGGATCAGTCTTCTGACATCTATTTAGCGTTTTGTGAACTTGTTTGTCGTTTTGTCGCCTTTCAATGTTGACCATAGCGTAGTCATGTTCTCTCGACATATGAGTTTGAATGTCAATGAATTTGTAGTGTAAATAAATCTCTTCTACACACTGAGATAAACTTTAAAGAAAACATATTCATTTCATTTACAGAGGTTAAAACTTGTTTATATGATGGCTACGAATATGCGTGGGAATTAGACTTGTGTCTTAAGTTCTACATTAATACGACAGAAAGATTAGTCTTGATTGGTCTTACTCACGAACAAGATGTCAAAACGAGGCTGGTGACCTAGTTGTAGTAGACAGTGAATTCAAAGACAAGCTGTTCCTGTTATATTTAAATAAAATACACGGTAAGTTCATTTTGAGAGACCGATTTATTTCCAATGGACAAAAACATGAAATTTTTTTTATATTGAGTATGATAGCCTGTGAATTGTAACCTTGATTTTCTGCTGTTATTGACAAAAGTATACGGTAATATTAATTAACAGATTGAATTATCTGCCTTTACAAAAGTGATTTATTTCATTATATTTATACACAATAACCCTATAATAATAGAGCAGACTTTTTCACATCGTTCCGGAAACAAATATTTCGATCAGAGTTGTTTCTTTATATAATGACAGACTACTGTTTTTGTTTCTAGATCATTTTTATAAATAAATAAGAAGCTTTTTGCGAAGAAGAATTAGCCACTTTTTTTCACATTTTATCATAATAATTTTTTTTTTCTTGTAGACATGATGTCAGTGCAACGATGGTTGATTGGTGGGAGTGACGTATTAAATGAGGGACAATTCGAATTGATATCTGGTCAGAACATAACGTATACAAATTGGGATCCAGGACAGCCTGACAATGCATCAAATGATGGTACAACAAATGCAGATTGTATGCAATATTTTTTTAGAACAAACGAACAATCTTTTGCGTGGCTTGACCTCCGTTGTGATAGTAATCTTTCCTCTATTTGTGAAAGTGGGGCATTTATTTAAAGAAGTATATGGTGATGTGTGATTATAGCACTCCTCCGTTGATATGGAGCATAAGACAATTTGAAAACTGATAGCAAGATTCAATCTTCTTGTTAAATGTTGAATAATTTTTAGGTTTGCCGCATCAGATTAATTTTCTGATAAATGACGATTTATCAGCTTTTTAAGAGAGTTTGAACCTCAAGACCGAAAATAGACTAGATTACTCTTCGTCTTTCGATTTTGAATTAATTTGTTTTAACCATGCTAAACTGTCATGTTTTTTCATCAATACTAGTAAAGCTATTATTGCAAATTTGCAATCATTTCAGCAACAAAATGGTATTATGTTTTTTCTTACATTAAAAGTGGTTTAGCTTTCTTTGTCGGTGAAAGTTTTGATGTTCACTCACCAAAAATAAACGGTATCCCCTACTTGCACTTGATAAACAGTGATATTATAAGGAAACAGCTTGAAAATGTAAAGGCATTTAACTGATAAAGTATCTTCTAAAAGCCACAAAAGGATATCAGCATTTAAGAAAGGCATGGATTATTCAAATATTTCAACCACAATCAACTAATAATCTGCTGTCAGAAAATTACAATCTGATTACTGTGCATATTCGAAAGACTTTTCCTTTATCAAAACCAATTTGAGAAAATGTTATACCCAATTGCAGTTTGAATTCATATCGACACCTGATGAACTGGTTAAATGTCTTAGCTTATTTCTTAGATAACAAGTTGTTAGTATGAAGCTAATGCCGCGTAATAAAAATTATTATTCTTATCATACGAATCATGTGATTGACATCTGTTATGACAAATGCAATTAGTCATTGTGACTGCCTAGTTATAAGGAATACTAGTTACAAAAGTATTATTTTGATCTCTGGACTTCCATCCTAATGATATTTTAATAAGTAATGTGTTCTAAACAAAATGTATAAGGTTATCTTACTATTATCATATGTTCTTAAAGGAAAACGTAAATTTGTGAAAAGGTTAAAAATAAGTTGCCTGCTGTTCTGATTGTTTGGTATATAAAGAGGGAAATAAAACCATTATAACTCTTTTTTTATTTCTAATATATTTCTATAATTGCTTTTTAGCGGATTGTTTCCGTTTGAATATATAAGGAACATCGTGCCAATTATCGGAGGGTTTCATTTGTGATTGCAAGGGTGAACTGATTTGTCGTTGTAAGATATTATTGATAAACGGCATTGATTCTTCAGCCAGATTCTTTTTTTGTTTTGATATTTTTGTGATTTTAGCTCTTTTGCGATTACTGAATTTTCGGATTCTGATTTTTGTTAAGCTCGACCATCATTATAAAGACATTATTTGTCAAAGTGTCCATCTGGTGTATGAAATAGATGTCGTATAATATTAAAGGCAACAGTAGTATACCGCTGTTCAAAAGTCATAAATCGATTGACAGAAAAAAAAAAATCCGGGTTACAAACTCGAACCGAGGGAAACACATCAACTATAAGAGGATAACAACGGAACACTGAAACACTATTAACTACTCTATACAGACAATAACTAGTATAAAATGACTCATAAAACAGCATATCTAGTGTGTTTTGTCTAGTTAGGAATGACTTTTAATTTAGCTTTGTAAAGAAGTGCTGACAGTGTTTGCACTTTTCATAACTTCCAGGAATTCTTTCTTTCCTACTGTCTCTTCATTTTCCGAGATAAAGTGCAGTATTTCTAATATACGAGTACACTACTAAAAACAAAGCAACAATTAGTATCCAACACCAATGTATTCTTTTACAGTATTTATATACAGTAGAACTGGAGAAATATGTCATATTTGTAAGTGGTAATTGTCAAAAAAAATTGGAAAATTTCACTCGCCTGTAGGCCAGTGTGATTTATCAGACTTTCTAATACGTTACAAATCTGACAAGTTTGTATTAAAAATCAAGTTTATACGTTTTCAAAAAGAGGTTGTGGTTATGTATGTCTTCTTGAGTCTATCTCTGTAGTAATACAAGACAGTGAAATTGTGCTGCTATGGCAGCGACTTTTCACATATATATCCAGGTTTATAGTCATGACGGTTACAAAAAGCGGTCGACTGTAATATTCTGCCACCAGTAGGCACTAGGAAGCAATATTGGTCAGCAGTGAAGTAGGCAACACCAAAAGAACCTAGAATAATAATAAAATAGCAATGTTAATATGAAATTTATCAAGTTTAATGTAAAGAACGGGGGAAAAGTGACTTGTGATTTTCAAAGCATCAAACACAGTCTCATTTTCATATGATTTAATTAAAATATCTTATTGGTAAAGTTAAATTACTTTAGTAGACAGAAGACAGACCTGATTCGTATTAAAAGGGATATAGAGTAAAGAAAGTTAGAAAGGAGTTGTTTATAGAACAATGTAGAACAAAACTAGTAAAAAGAACGAAATCAAATTTTTCAGATGGTATTTTAACCATTTAACATTAAATAAGTAGGAATTACTGTCCAAGACGTATGTTACGAGCATTAAATTACATAATTTAGTTTAAATTAATAAAGACAAAATCACTTAAATTGATGATTTGCTGTAACAAAATAGATATTTACAGAAACAAGTATGTCCGTAAAATGCAGAAAATAGTATTAAAGTTTTTAACTTCCCAAGACGAGAAAAACAGAACCTCCGTCAGGACTTCATTAACATGGTAAAAACTGATCTGAAGGTAACTTTGGAGGAAAGAGATGTAGTTGCCATACACCGACTACCAGCAGCACATGAACCAAGTCCTATGATTGTAAGACTTTACAACAGTGACACAAAGAGAAAGGTTATGCGTGTGAGAAAAGAACTATCAGGCAAAGTGAAATTTGTTGATGATGTTAGCCAAAGGAATATGGAACTTATACATAGACTAGAAAAAAGCCAACGTTTCGACCAGGTTTGGTATTTCAATTGTGGTGTTTATGGTAGAACTCCGAGTGGTTTACAGTTGAAAATTTGAATGTATGATGACATTAACTTGAGAATAAGACAGGGATATTACACTTGCTGTACATTCGTCTATATTGTCATGCTATACATAGACATATATCTTACATTCAATTATACTCAAGATTATAGAAAATCATTTAGGTCAATTTCAATTTGTATTTTGTAAAAAGAAAATCAGAGTATGTACAAATGTAGTTTTTTGCAGAAATTGTACTTTGCACTTCTTTTCAAGGTAGGTGTATGCCTGTCTTCTTTAATCTTTACTTATATTTTTATTCAAGTTTTTTTTTCTTTTCTGATATTTTGAATTGCTTTCTAACAACTGTTTTATGAATATGACTTATCTATTATGTCAAATCTTTGTTTGCCAGATGAATTTGTATTTGTCACACATTTCATTTGTGTACATACTGATGGGAAATTTTGCTTACTATAATGAATTCACTTAAAGTTTTGACATTTAATTGTCAGGGTTTAGGAAATACTAACAAGAGAAAAGACGTTTTTAATTTTTTGAATTCTAAAAACTATAATATTTATTGCATACAGGATACTCATTTTACCACAGACATCGAGAAAGTATAAGATCAATGTGGGGATATGAATGCTACTTTTCATCTTACCTATCAAATTCAAGAGGAGTTGCAGTTTTATTAAAAAATAATTTTGAATTTAAAGTATTAAAAGAAAAGGGAGATTTAAATGGTAATTACATAGCATTAGATATTGTGATTGGTGAACAAAAGATAACTCTTGTCTCAGTGTATGGTCCTAATACAGACAGTCCTAATTTTTATGACAAGATTATGAACACTGTTGAAGATTTTGGAAATGAAAGTTTTATACTTTGTGGTGATTTTAGTTTAGTATTGTATCCAAATATTGATTGTTATAATTATTTACATGTAAATAATTCTTATGCTAGAGATAAAGTGTTAGAAATTATAGACCAATGGTCACTTGTAGATCCTTTCAGAGAACTTTTTCCAGAATTAAGAAGATACACCTGGCGAAAAAAAAAACACCTTTTAAACAAGCTAGACTAGATTTTTTTCTGATTTCGGATTCTCTGTTATCAAATTTATCAAATTGTAAAATAGAGTCTAGCTACCGTTCAGACCACTCCATTGTGGTTCTAGAACTAGAATTTAACCCTTTTATACGTGGTAAAGAACTGTGGAAGTTCAACAATTCTTTACTATATGACAAGGAAATATTGATATTGTTAAAGAAAAGATTTTAGAAGTGAAAAAACAATATGGTGCATTGGTCTATAGTTTTGAAAGTATACAGGAAATTTGTAATGATGATCTCCATTTAACTATTAATAACCAATTATTTCTTGAGATATTATTATTAGAAATTAGAGGTAAAACTATCTCTTATTCTAGTTACAAGAGAAAACAAAGGGATATAAAGGACAAAACACTTTTACAAGAAATTGAATTTTTAGAAGCTGCTTTAAATGAAAAATCATGGCAAATATTAGAAAGTAAGAAACAAGAATTAGAAATGATAAGACAATAAAAATTGAGGGGTAGAATTATACGTTCTAGAGTTAAGTGGGTCGAGGAAGGTGAAAAACCATCAAAATATTTTTGTGGGCTTGAATCAAAAAATTTTACAAACTTATCCCACGAGTAGAGTTAGAAGATGGGAAAGTTGTTGTTAGCCAGTTTGATATCTTGAAGGAAGTTAAAACATTTTATGAAAATTTATACAAGAAAAGGGAGGTAAATTGTTGTAAAGCCAGTGATTTGGAAAGGGATCTAAAAGATTGTAATTTTAATAAATTATCTGTAGAGGAACAGATGAGTCTAGAAGGGGAGATAACTATTGATGAAGCAAGTTGTGTTTTACAAAAGATGAATAATGATAAATCACCTTGATCTGATGGTTTTTCAACTGAATTTCTTAAGTTTTTCTGGAGAGATTTAAAGTCATTTGTTGTAAAAGTGTTAAACTATGGATATATTATTGGGGAATAATCAGTTACTCAAAAACAAGGGATTATAACATGTCTGCCAAAAGATAATAAACCAAGACATTTTCATAAAAATTGGCGACCTATATCATTATTAAATACTGTTTACAAAATTGGTTCAGGAGTTATAGCTAGTAGATTTAAAAAAGTGTTATGTAAACTGATTGATCTTGATCAGACTGGTTTTATTAGTGGGCGTTATATTGGGGATAATATCAGATTAATCTATGACATTTTACAATTTACTGAAGAAAATGACATACCTGGTTTATTACTTTTGATTGACTTTGAAAAAGCTTTTGATACTATTTCTTGGGATTTTCTTTATAGTGTTCTAGAATTTTTTTAATTTTGGAGAATACATTATAAACTGGGTTAAAGTGTTCTACAAAAATAGTTCATCTGCTGTTAATCAAGGAGGTAACCTTTCAGATTTTTTGAAGGTAGAACGTGGTTGCCGTCAAGGTGATCCTTCATCACCTTATCTATTTATACTGTGTGCAGAAATGTTAGCAATCAGAATTCGGGGAAATAAAAAAATTTGTGGAATAAATGTGACGAGAGTAGAACATAAGTTATCACAGTTTGCCGATGATACATCATTTATTTTAGACGGAAGTGAACAGTCTCTTAATGAAGCATTAATTGAATTAGATTGGTATGCTAAACTTTCTGGGCTAAATATTAATTTCACAAAAACGCAAGTAGTTTGGATTGGAAACAAAATATATAGTAATGATGTTTTATGTCCTGAAAGAAAATTATCCTGGGGTAAAACAGATTTTACTTTACTGGGAATTCATTTTGATGTAGATTTAGATAAAATTGTTGATATAAATTATGAGCAGAGACTTCTGGTCATAAAGAAATTAATTAAAACTTGGTCTAGAAGAAATCTTACTGTTATTGGTAAAATAACTGTGGTAAAAACTTTAATTCTACCCGTCCTAAATCATTCAATAATCTCATTACCAAATCCTAGTGATGCGATTATAAAAAAGATTAATGAAATTTGTTACACCTTTATTTGGGATTCACCTGTGCACAGGATAAAGAAAGAAATATTACAAAAATATTATTGTGAGGGAAGTTTAAAAATGATCAATCTTAACCTATTTATCAACATGGGTTAGAAAACTTTTTCGTTCAGAATGTAAATGGAAAAACGTATTTTTGTCAACAGTAAATAGAGATAGACTATTCAAATGTGGAAACGGATATTTATTCCAAATTCAAAAATAATGTAAAAAACAAATTTTGGAAGGATGTTATTGATGCATGGGATATGATTATTACTAAAGAAGAAACCCATACATGGGATCATTTTTTGTCAAGTTCATTGTGGTTTAATAGATGTATAAAAATTGGTAATAAATCAGCTTTTTATGTAGAAAGGTTTAACAAAGGTATTTGTTCCATAAATGACATTATGTCTGAAACTGGAAAATTTCTCTCCATTGCCCAGTTAAAGGAAAATTTTGATATTGAAGAAAATGCTATGAAATATAACAGTATTATTTCTGCTGTTAAAAAAGCAGCAAAAATTTATGCTGTTGATGATTATAAGTTATTGACTCCATTTATTCCATCCTTTTTGAAAATTCTGTTGAGAAGCTCAAGGGGAACAAAAGATATGTATTCAATACTAATCAAGAATAATATTATATCAAATGGGCAAAGAAAATGGGATGACATTATAAATTGTGAAAAAGGGGAATGGAAAGAAATTTTTAGACTACCTTTTGTAGTGATAAATAATACCAAATTGCAATGGTTACAGTATAGAATCAATCAGCGTATTTTAGGAACAAACAAATTATTGTATAAAATGAAAATAATGGATAACCCAAATTGTACATTTTGTCAAAAAGAAGATGAAACAATTGAACACTTGTTTTGGAATTGTGAGATTGTACAAATATTTTTAAATGAAACTAAACATTGGTTTCTTTCAAATGGTATAAGTATTCCCTTTACTATTCAAAATTGTATTTTTGGAGATATCTCAAAAGCTTTTAGTAGAAATGTGACCAACCTGATTTTTCTGCATATCAGACATTATATTTTTAGTTGTAAATACTTAAGAGAAGACTTACATTATTTGGAGTGCAAAAGAAAATACAGGATCTTTACTGTATTGAGAAACCCATTGCTATTAAAAACAAGAAACTGGAAATTTTCGATGAAATGTGGAATACTTTCACTATATTATTTGACAGTTAAATAAATAAATGTACAAACATATAGAAGCAAACTTTTATGTTTAAATTTGACAGAAATAGGATAGGATGTGAATTTAAATTCATCTAGGCAAAACTTTTTTTATTTTTTTTTCTCTCTAATTATCAGTTCTCTTCAATATCTGGTCTTTAATGCAGAACTCACTATGAGTTTTTGTATCTACTCTTTTTTTTATATATATATATATCTGTATGTTTTGTTATATAAAGTATATTTAATTTTTAGCTCTTTAAATTGTTAAGGAACATCCAAATTGTTATTTCTGTTATGGTATATATTTTTATTTTATTATGTCATTATAATGTGTAAATTACTAACAAATACCAATATCTACATATATATGTTATTTACTAATGTTAACGAGGCCGGGATAAGGTACCGGTATTCGATGTATTCAATTAACAAATGTACAGATTTCAATAAAATATGATAACATGAAAAAAAAAAAAAAAAATGCAGAAAATACAAAAATATAAAAAACATAAAAAAAAAAATGTAAATGGTTGAAATATTAAACATGTATAAAAATGGGATAATACAAGATGAAACATTCAAGCTTTAAACACTGCCATACAAACATTATATCGTTTAATTCCTTTTAAAAAGTACTGGATCAAAAATTGTTGTTACTCTCTAAAATCTCAAATTAAAATATATCCACCGAAAAAAATATGCCTGTACGAAGGCAGGACCTCTTTAATGCATGGATGTCTTTTGTCATACCTTACTTTGATCGTTATTTTGCGAAATAAATGTTGATGCAATATCACTTACGGTCTATTTTCAAATAACGTTAACCAAAAGTCTCCTTTTAGACACAAAGATGCGCTTTCCACGACATCGATAGGTTTTATTATTATAATATCTTCATAATGATATATAAAATTTTGACATTAAGTTAATGCTGACCTTTCGATCTAAGATAAGTCGGTACTGCCTTGTTCTTTTGAGGAGAATCAAGTTTAACGAGTGTTGCATTATTCTTCTGACACACATGTTGGGCATCTTGTTTCAGACACGGATGCTTATGACATATCCCACTCTTAATGCATACATTTGTAGAAAATAATGCAAACGCACCTCCATACCAAATATCTGAAAGAAACAGTAAACTACACAAAAGTCTTTAAGACGAAATAATATATCTATATAACTCCATAGATCAAACACTACAAAAGTCAAAAAGTCTGAAAAGACCAGTTTTTGTCTGAATTTGCATGAATTTTTACTCGACATTCTTAATTTGTCTGAATAATTTTTAAAAATTCTTGACATAGTATGAATTTGTCTAATAAGGTTCTTGATTTTTCTTGACAAGTGTCTTGACAGTATGAACATTGTCTTAAAATTTCTCGACACTTCCTGTATAATCTGATAAGAGTCTGGATTAGTCTCGATCAATTCTTGACTGTCTTAAATTTGTCTCGATCTGTCTTGACATATTCTTGACATTCTTAATAATGTCTGAATATGTCTCGACATATTCTTGACATTCTAAATAATGTCTGAATATGTCTCGACACATTCTTGACAGTCTTAAATATGTCTTGACACTATCTCAACAGTATAAATTTCGCCTGAAATGTGAACAGACTTATTCTGCACTTTTCTTTTTATGACATTCTATTGCTGTTATATACTCCTTTTTATTATGGCTAAACTAAACTTTGAAGAATCAAGGATTAATTTGGTATAGTAAGATACCCTTTTGGTGCAACTTAGTTGGAATACCCTGAATAATCCCCCATGTAGTTTAATTTTGATTTATTTTTATTAAACATTTAAGTATTTGTTTTCACTTGGAATATAAGTCGAAGGTATTGACAAACAGCATTAAGATTTTTGCCGTTCGCAAAACTGCCAGTCAAATTTGCTTTACTAAAATAGGTGTCTTGTATCTCTTTTGGACCCCACAATTCATCTTTTGGGTTTGTGTGGCTAAAAAAAGAGGGGGGGGGGGGGGGGGGGGGGGGCTTTCGTTTAGGTCAAAGAATTTGTTCCCATCTTGATTCAAAAACCTTATTCATTTTTTAGAACAACCCAAAAACATTTTTTATTCAAATTTGAGTGTTGAATTTTATAATTTTTTTATCAAAAATAAATATTTGTGATAACTCCTTCCTGAAAGAAAAAAATGTTTAGATCTATATTATGCATGTCTGTTTGAGAACCATTTCATAAGACCGATGATTTCTATAGAAATCATTGATGGGACCCATTATAAATACATTTTTTTGATTATTCCTTCCTGGAGTAGATAATAATTTTCTTTTAATCTTTGGGAATTATTCAATTTGTTTTTATGTTAAAATAATTAACTTCATAATTTTGATGAAGAAAATCCATTTCAATTCAAATTTTTTTTCATCAAAATGATGATTTTCATTTTCATCTATCAACAAACGTTTTAAATTGTAGTGGCATGGTCGGTCAACTGATAAGTTGTATGGCTGATTACAGGTAAAACAATAACTTCTATTTGACAGTTGGGTGTACTCTGGGGTGTGGAATACCTTAATTTTATGGGGAACATCCTGTCCATGTGTAATACTTAATATATTCCAACAGATGACATTACACAAATTTTCCTTCTGTTAATGAATGATTTGTATATCATCATAATTTGCTATTTATATAAACCACATTTTGGTATAATAATTATTTACCATATCAACATTGAATATTATGAATGTAGAATGAAATATGTCTACAGTATAATTGGTTTGAATCATTTAATTTATAAGATTTAGGAATCAAAATTTGAAATTATTTAAAAACCCACATTGAAATTGTTTTATATCAACACACCCACATTTGAATTATTTTATACTTTAGATTTCATAGCCATATTTGCATTTGTAAAAATATTTATATACCCAAATTTTCAATTATTTTACATGCCCAACTTTTATTTTTGTTGTAAAGAAGTGTAACTTGAAACAACAGTATATCATATAAAGACAAAAAAAGATTAAAGTTATATCATGAATATTGGTCATGATTTGTAAAACTCAGAACTGTCAAGTAAATTTAAGACACGATTCAAAATGTTCAGAATATGTCAAGCCATATTGAGAAAAAATAAGAATGTCGAGAATATGTCGAGAAATTTCAAGACAGTATTAAAATGTCAAGAATTTGTCAAGAAATGTTAAGACCATATTCAGAATGTCGAGAATATGTCTAGTAAATTTCATACAAATTTAATACAAATGATAATTTGTCAAGAAAAATTAAGACACAAGTCATACTTTTGAAAATGTCGAGTAAAAGTTCATGCAAATCAAGACAAAAACTAGTCTTTTCAGACTTTTAGACTTTTGTAGTGAAATGTTTCAGCACAAAATATCATCATTTTAACATAACATAATGATATCTAACTATATAAATAATCTAGAAAAACTATATGGATGATGTGATTTCACTGACAATATGTTGACTGCATTTATAATACAGGATTTCCAAGACACAATTAGGTCTATCTCTTACACCTAGAAATTGTACTACAAAGAACTTAAATTTTCCAAAGGTGAACTTATCTTAGTTATTTCTCCAAGAAGCACCTACATACCCAGTATAACCATCACCAAGTTGATGCGATATTCCTTAACTTGTGTTTTCTATCAGGATTTCCTAGATAGAGTGTTGCTGCTTTGATAAAGCTACTTTACCAAGTGTTCATAAAGTTTTCATAAAGTTGAAATATCTTTTAGAAAGTTGTACGACTATCATTATGACTCGCTCTGAAAAATTCTTTGTAATTATGACTACAATCCCATAATCCTTTCCCCGAATATCAAATTGCCGTGAGTAACACAATAGGTAAAATAAGTTGAGTAGGAGCCGTTTATCTTTTTAAGTATCTGAACCCCATCCCTGTTTTTTTTTATTGATTCTATGTTGATCTGTTTCTGTAGAATGTTTTTTTTTAATTTTTCTTTGTCCTGGCAGTTGCGGACTCATGTGGGGCTTACAGGTTTTACGGTTCTCTTTGATTAAAAAAACCCACATTGATCCGCTCCTGAATTGTGTTGTCTGTCCATTTTTGACTGTGAATTTGAGTGCTTCTTTGAAACGTCTGCCTTATTTATAACAGTACATGTGGAACATGTCTTGATTTTAACAATATGAAGTAATTTTGACATGATAGGACTCAGGTCGCCTAAACATCCAATACAGGACATAGTTCCAAAATAAACGATCTTTGACAGGTATTTCTGATATAAAGTATCATAAGGACAATGAAATGACACGAGACATACAGGAAATGTTTAGTTTTTAAGGTGAAAATGCAAATTGTAACAAGTTTTGTAGTTTGTTTACTCAGTAATAACTACTCTAAACGTTTTGGAACTGTTTGAACATAATTTTGATTAGACATTTTATACTTATAACATTTGGGTCACGTTCTGCAATTCGGGTGATATATTTCTTTTCGTGTGGTGATCTAAAAGAGATTATGGATCGAATTTAGACTAGGGCACTGTTAGTTTTAGGGTAAAATAATGAACTACAAACGATTGAGATAGGGGTAAAGTGAAGTTAATGATAGGGTACAGTAGAATTATTGGTTTACTCAGCATCAATGTTCTGATTATGGTAGGCTAGTTGTGGGTTTCGGTAAGTATTTTAGTATTTCAACTTATTTTGACCAAACTCTTTAAGTATTAGTACATATTAGATGGGTTGATAAAAAATACGTTATAGCTTACATTTTTCTTAACTGAAAAATATGTCTGAAACTTTGAAATATAGTCAAATATGGTTGAATTTAAGTTTAAAATTGAATCATACCAAAATGGGTTAACAAATAATTTAAGTGTCAAATTGATATGTAGGACTAGGAGGTGCGATTGGGACACTAAAGTGCGATGGTCTGCCGTTTTTGACGTTGTGTTTAAGTAAAAACATTTACGGTGATCTATCTTATTCATTGCTCTCATTCACAATCCGAATTGATATGTTGCTTATTTTTTGTCCTTCTGACTAAGCAAGTAGTATTTAAATTTCTAATGACTTCCTAGTTTTTCACTCATTGAAATTAATACTGGTTGTAATGGCCATTAACCTTTGCATGTAGCGTCTATAATGGTCAAATTGTATGAACGTTGGATTATTTCTGTCCAAGCCTATTTACATAGTGAACAACAACATTTCAGTTATGACTGCAAATGTACTGACTATTTATCATGACTATTTTAAATCAAACGGGTTACACTCTCGGTTTTATTCCAAAAAACTAACAAAAACAAATCGACTTTTAGATCGATATGAGAAAATAAATAATATTGTAAATATAGTAATCCATCGCACTTCAACGTTACCATCAACGCACTTTGGCGTAGCTATCAACAAGATAACATCACAATACCGCCATCGCACTTCAGCGTCACCATGGCATTTCCGAGTACCATCCCTTATGAGAGTCTTACAGATGTGTTGTGATTCGTGTCGAATTCATGAGCTAGGCCCTTTCCAACTGATTTTTACTGTTTGTGCTATTTTTGAGCGATTTCACCAGTGTCCCAGGTTAGGAGGACGGCTTAGCACAACAAGCAGGTTTAACGCCGCCACATTCTTTGTATGTATGTCCCAAGTCAGGAACTATTGATTCAGTGTTTGTTGTTGATATTGTCTGTCATATTTATTTTTCGTTTATTATTTTAGGATAGATAAAATCGTTTGTTTAATCCCCTAAAATGTTTAACATTTTGTCAAACCGGGGCAATTATTTACTGACTATACGCTATGGGTTTTGTTCATTGTAAAAGGCCGTAAAGTGACCTATCATTGTTTCATTCTCGTCCGTTGGCCTGTGGTGGATAGTTTTTTCATCGGCAATCGTACCACTTCTCCTTGTTTCTATATTTTGGTCAAGTAAAAGCTTTTTAGTCATACAAAATACACCAGTGTTTAGAACACTGGTAATTGTTATTTAAGAACTTGTTCGAGAAAAGAAAACATAAAGGCGAACATGTCGAAAAAGATTTAACAGTTGCAAATATTGAAAATGACATATATAAAGGCAACAGTAGTATACCGCTGTTCGAAATTCATAAATCGATTGAGAAAAAAAAAAAATCCGGGTTACAAACTAAAACTGAGGGAAACACATCAAATATAAGAGGAGAACTACGACACAACAGAAACACAACATTAAAATGTAACACACACAGAAACGAACTATAATATAACAATGGCCATTTTCCATTTTCCATTATATTATGAATAAAGCTAACCGATCAATGTAAACATTAAAGTTGTGTGTTTAAAAGAATTCTAAGTGGTAATCCTTTAAATCAAATTACTAACCGGTTTTACTGTATGATATAGAGCCATGCACAGTCTGTCTCTTTACTACACAATTAGGATCCAAGTTGCATTTTTTTGATAAGGTATCAAAACTACCACTACAACATGCATGCTTGCTGCTACATATTTTAACACATTCAATTGCCGATCTCGCCGTTACTTGAAGTGTTGCCTCTGACTGAAGAATGCTAGTATTTGTTTCAATGACATAGTGATTATCACGTGTCATTTGAAAGTTTGCATAACACTTTGCAATGAAAATAATATACAATGTCTTTAAATATTGTTTTGATTCCATATTGTTATAAATGAAAATGAATTTCAGTTCATCTAAAGTTGGTGTGGGTAAATTATGTATGAAATATAGTGTCGATACAACATGAACTTGATGGACAACGTATGGTTCAATGAATCTCCACACAGATGTTTAACTATGAATTTTCAGGTTTAATTTCTTCAAAATATTGAAAATGCCGAGAAATATTACAGAGAAACATGATGGCTGTTGTTATAACATTTTATGTATGTATGAGTATTCATTTACATAACCAGTCTTGCGATTACTTTATAAACAAAATGTTTTTGTTGTTCTATCAAATAGATTTTAATTAAATAAAGTATAAAACGGATTGGAATGCAACGGAAACAAACGGTTTCTCTTAATTTCCCTGGACAGTTTTGTATCAATATAGCTTGAACTCAAAATGTTGTAATTATTATAAATTCTAATAACTAAAAAAATAATTAAAAAAAACTAATAACATCCCAAGAAACTACAAACCAGTGAATAGTTTAAAAAAATTAATACAGAAAAATAATTTAACAGATATATGGAGAGAACTTAATCCAAATACAGATCAATTCACATGGAGAAGAAAAAATGATATAAAAATAGCCAGTAGAATTGACTTCTTTTTGATAAGTCCTGATATAAGACCGCATGTTATGAAAGCAGATATTCGACCAGCAATGACCTCTTATACTGATCACCAAGCCATTTCTTTACAAGTTAGACAAAATCCAGAAGAAAGAGGCAGGGGATTTTTCAAAATAAACAATAGCATACTTAAAGAGCAAAATTATATTGACCTCATAAATAAATTAATCGAAAATTGTAAGAAACAAATACTCACCAAAAATTTAAAAACACTGTGTAGCCTTTCTACATAATTTTGTACATATCAAAATAAACCAATGAAATTTGTTTTTTTAAACAGTCATCTACAATTAGAGCAAAATATAACAAAACATTTGACTGTATATTCATGCACGCCTGAGAAAACAGTAATATTTTTTGTTTGTTTATAAACAACAAATGAATGCAAGGGGAACAACCAAAGTTTTTCTTTTTCATTTTTTTCATACTAAGAGGAATAACTCAATGTTCACTCGCTACTTTTATTCTGTATAGTCTGTTTCATCAATTATCTGGCAAAGAACGAAATCATTTTCTCTGTAATGTTTTTATACGACCGCAAAAAATTCTATCATGTCTATTTTTTTTGGTGGATTCATATTTTTAAAATTTCAAATTTAAAAAAAGAAAACTTTTGGGGGGGCGGGTCATACTATTTTCAACAAATTTATCAAGATCTCAATTTTTTTCAATTGTTTTTTTTTTTTGGGGGGGGGATTTTTTTCCTCATAATATATAGGGTTTTTTCCATTAGCTATTCGTTATGTCATTGATGACTTTCAAAGGTTATGACGATGTACATTTTGTCCATGGGACAAGGCTCGTTTATTATTATATTGAAATTGAATAACTCGAGTTGATATCAAGCGATATCCCATTCTCACTCGTTATGAAGCCTATAAATATATAACAGGTTAACTAAGTATTGTGCAACAGCACAGTATTGCACAATAGCACTTATATATGTAAATTAAAGCGAAATAAAGCATAGAACACTGCAGATTGAGTTGAACTAATGTATCAACCATTGTTTAACACCAAGTGGCTTATCAAATGCAAGATGAGAACATGAACTTTGAGCCTACATGTACTCTACACTAACACAACAGATTTACACACTGAACCAGATAATAAACAGTCAAGGCAAAGATACTACCATGAAACCACTGATGTGGTTGAATTTCAGTTATGAAAACCATGTCAAAAAGTGGAAGTTCTTCACACTTGCAGCAATGCAGGTGCTCAATATGTGACATGTCATATTTTAGAAGAATAATGTGGTAAGGCATGTACCTGCAGCAGGAACAATTCTGCTAGAGATTCGAGGATGCGGGCCTCAGCTTGTTCAAGTTTGTGAACTGATTTATACGGAGACAATGGATGCCAAATGTAAAAGCGCTATCTAAATCTCTTAGTAAATAAAAACCAAAAACAGTGAAAACAATATATAATTTATTCACTAAGTACAAATTTTATCATGTGGTCCAAAGTAAAGAAATGGAGCATTCAATGACTTCAATAATTACCCGTAATAAGAAGCCACATGGCAGATGCACTAACCATTTATGGAAGTTTAGGAAAATCACAACTTTCCTTGGTTGGACCTTTTTTTTATCTTTATTATATCCTTGGGAGGACTTTTTTTTTATCTTTATTATCCTTGGGTGGACTGAACTTCAGTCTTCAGATAATTTAATATGATGATTATAAACCAGTTATATAAAATGTATAGGCCTAAGTCTATCAAAAAAGGTTATAAATGATTTGCGACGATGCAAATACTAAACTTTAGAATATAAAAAAATATCTTTAACCAATGAATTGAAAATACCAATATCTATTCAATTTTACAAATATGAACTGAATAAGCATCATGTAAGTCATTAAATAAAGAAATATGAAATTTATAGTTTTTAACAAGGGAAATAACAATGACATAATAATCCTGTCTGCAAAATACAATTTGTTTTTTTAAGGGGGAGGAGGTTAAGGCAATATCATTTCAAGCCATTTTTTTTTTAATTTTTAGTAAATGTTTAATGTCTATTGTTGTGTAATGCTTGGATTAATTCATTAAATACTTTTTTATCGTGAAGCCAGATATGCACATTCTGAAACTGATTATACTACTAAGGGAGACAACTACATATGCACTTTCATATTCATTCAATGTGCATCACTATACATTATATATAAATTATGCGACAAAGAGGAATGATTTTGTTCAATACAATGACTGTACCTATTATAACAAATAGATGCTAATACCAGAATTAATGGTGGAAATAAGCAAAGATTTACGGTCCGTTCAGGATAACTGTATGTGTCTCGTGAATATAGGTTGTGATTGCATTGCGCATTTCAACTTTTTGTAAAATATAGAGTTATCGTCCTTTAAAACCTAACGGCAGATAGAAAGGCTACACTGTGGGATATGTTTAAATCAGAGGTAAGAACCGCAACTCCTACTTACTGCAAACAAAGATCATCTGAAAATAAAAATGATATAAAAAATTTAGAAATAAAATTAAGAAAATTAAATGAAAAAACAAATGCAAGCCCAATTATGAAAAAAGAAATTAAAACCATTGAAAATGAACTTGAACACCTCTAATCAAATAAAGTTAAAGGTGCACAAATAAAATCTCGAGTACAATGGTTAGAAGAAGGAGAGAAAAATACTAAATTCTTCCTGGGCCTTGAAAAATCAAGACAAACAAAAAAGAGCATTACAGCGCTAAAAGATAAACAAGGGAAAATAGTTACAGAAAACGCAGAAATTTTAAACATAGAAAAATCATACTATGAAAATTTATATAAAAGCACTTCTCCAAATTTAAAAGACATTAAAAATTATATAAATGAGACCAGCATTGATCACAAACTATCTGAGGTAGAAAGTGATTCCTTGGGAGGCCCCTTAACAGTAGAAGAATGCGCTAAGGCAATATTTAAAATGAAATTAAATAAATCGCCAGGAATAGATGGGCTAAGTGTAGAATTTTATCGCACTTTTTGGAGTAATTTAAAAGAATTTACAGTTGAAGTTTTTAATAAATGCTATGAAGAAGGAGAACTGACAACCATACAAAAGATAGGTATAATATCCTTAATTTACAAAAAAAAAGACCCTTTGTCACTAGATAACTATAGACCAATTACGCTATTAAATGTAGATACAAAACTCATTGCATATGCAATAGCCCAACGTTTAAAACCAATACTGTTGAAAATAATTCACAGCGATCAAAATGGTTATATCAAAAATAGATATATTGGTTTTAATATACGCCAAATCCAAGACATTATAGATTATGCTGAAACCTTTCATATTGATGATGCATTACTTTTTATTGATTTTTCAAAAGCTTTTGATTCATTAGAATGGAGCTTTATGTATGAAGCCCTTATAAATTTGGTCTCCCAAACTCATTCATTAAATGGATTGAAACATTATATAAGAATATTAAAGGCTGTATGCTAAATAACGGTTGGATTTCAGAAACTTATAATGTATCTCGTAGGATACGACAAGGATGTCCATGCAGTTCTCTAATTTTCACTATAGCAGTAGAAATTCTTGCATGCAGAATAAGGCAAGATACTGGTATTAAGGGATTTCAAATCAAATTAGACTCTAAAACACATAGTTTGAAAATCTCACAATTAGCAGATGTCACTACTCTTTTTTTAAAATGCAAGCAGGAAATAAGTTATGCTTTAAACTTGATTGAAATATTTGGAACATTCTCAGGTCTTAAACTTAACCGATCGAAAACAGAAGGCATATGGCTAGGCAAACTAAAAAGTTCTAAAGATAAATATGAAAATATAAACTGGAATAAAGAACCTATTAAAAGCCTAGGGGTATATTTTGGACTTAACAAAGATGAATGTGACAGATTAAATACAGAAAAAACTTTTTAAAAAATCTCAAGATGCAATCAATAACTGGAACAGAAGAAATCTCACAATGATAGGTAAAATAACAGTAATTAAATCTCTTATCCTACCAAATTTAACTTTCTTGGCATCAGTTACAACTATATCCAAAGAATTTTTGAATGAATTTAAAAAAACTGATTTATAACTTCATTTGGAGTAATAAAAAAGAAAAAGTTAAACGGATAACTTTATGTAAAGATTACTGGGAAGGAGGCCTTAAAATGATTAATATTGACAATTTCCTATCAGCTATACAATTATCCTGGGTCAAACGATTAACATCAAAACACTTTGCAAACTGGAAAGTTTTTCCCCTTTTCTTTTTTAATACATTTGGAGAAAACTTGTCTTTTTTCAACATGAATCCAGGTAGCATAAAAGCAATCCCAAACCTTAGTAAATCACTCCCTCTTTTCTACTTAGAAATAGTTAAAAGTTGGTTTAAACTAAAAAATATCTCAAACAAAAATAACAGTACAACTTTTGTTAATATAAAACAACAATAAATTTGGGGCAATAAACATATAAAATTTCAAAACAAATGCTTAATATTTTCACATTGGATAACAAACGGGATACTATTTATTAATGATATAATCGACAAAGCAGGAAAAATTTCACAAAAGATAATATTAGATAAATTGACCATTAAATCTAATTGGATATCAGAACTATCTAAAATAAAACATGCAATACCAAAAAAGTGGCAAATGGAAATGAAATCAGATAAATCGTGCTACACTCAAGTTAAAACAAATAAAAAGATATACATAAAAACACAAAATAGTACAAAACTGATCTGCATTGAAAACCTTCCATCAAAAGAAATATATAAAAGCATTAATTCATGTAATATAGAGGAAGAAACACCAATTGGCTTTCTAAAATGGAAAACACATTTTAAATTAGATTCGTCAAGTTATCTATATAAAATGCTTAACTTTATATTTTATAGCTTACAAGTTAATAACTTAAAAGTATTCAGGTGGAAGTTACTTCACTATATCCTTCCTTGTAAACAGCTATTGTATATCTGGAAACTGAAAAACGATGACCAGTGCCATATTTGCAATCAATTAGAAAACTATGAACACTTTTTCATTACTTGCAAATACTTTCAAACTTTTTGGAAAAAGGTCAAAGTACTCCTTAATAAAATAAGAATGGGGACACAGATAATCACCTATAAAAATCTAATACTTGGCTACAAAATATATGATAAAACATACTATGACATAAATCTGTTTCTCACTGTATTAATGTTTTCTATTCATAAATCTACATATGCATCAGAGTATAAACAACATAATGTTGATGTCTATAGAATTTTTAAGTTAGAATTTAAACAATACTTTGAAAGTATGAAACTTCTTGATAAAAACACAAGTAGATTTTTGAATGATGTTTATAAAAATATATAATAACCATGTTTATATTGTATCATGTGTATATGTTCTTTTTTTCAGTATCATTATACACTGTATATTACGTAGAATAACCTATATGAAATGTAAACAACTGCAAAATTTTAAGTTTCATGTGTGTGTTTTTAAAAATGTGATAAATGATCAATGTTTACCTGTACAACAAACTTATTGAACATTGACCCTGTACTGTCTACTGACCGGAAAAATCCTTGATATTTAAAAATAAATTATGATTCTTTCTATAAATTTATTAAAAAGCGATGGAAATATTTCCAAAACTCACCATTAGAAATTCTTAGATAAGATCCTTCTGCTCTCTCATCAATACACGTGCCGTGGTATTCTTTAATCATCCGAACATCTCAACTTTCACTTGAAATATTTTGATCAAGGTTAAGGTCAACCATTTAACTATAAACAATATCGGACAATAGATAGTACAACTTCCGAAATTACTTGATATAATAAAGACTTCAAAAACAAATTGTTAAAATCAATGTATTCATTGTATAACTAACCATATTTAATAGATATAAATGTAACTGTATAATCTCCCTGGTTAAACAGTAACTAATTTACAGGGATACACGGACTGAATGCTGTGAGTCGTGTAAGTTGTAAAAACAGCAGAGAAATGTGCAATTAAAGATTTATTTATACAAAAAAACAAAAAAGTAATTATTATAAATTCGTCTATTTAGTACTTTAAAAAACAATAACAATTGTATTTATTGCTATTCAGTTCGTATTACAAATAATGTGACAACAGCCTAAGTAAAGGAACACCACTTTTCTGATCTTCATCTTTAAGTCATTGCGTCTGAACAACAGACATCAAAGTTATTGTTCTACGAATAACATTTTGGTTAATTAGATGAAAATATCAAACTTAGTCCTAGTAAGGTCACTTAACTTGAAAGTGGTGCATTACATGTATTTCATAACACTTTAAAGTTTGAAACATGTATGCGGGTTATTATCAACAAATATCAGACATTAACTTTAGTTTTCTCGTTTGAATTGATTTACATTTGTCATATCGGGGCCTTTTACATACCTTACTATGAGGAATGGATTTTGTTAATTGTTGAAGGCCGTACGGTGACCTATAGTTGTTAACCTCTACTTCATTTGGTCTCTGGTTGAGAGTTGTCTCATTGGCAATCATACAACATCTTTTTATTATTGCGATTTTAAAGAAAGGACAAAAATGCGAGATTTATCATTGCGATTTCAGGACATTATGCATACCGATGTATGTATCAAATATAAAAATGCGAGTTCTAATTATTGCGACACTCATCCAGTCGTATTATTCGCATTTATAAAAACCTCCCAAAAATTTACAGCATATTGACGGGCAACATGACCTTATTAATACTTTCATAATTTGCACATGGTTATATTGTGTTTAAATAACAAACATGAACCTATAAAGAAATTAGGAAGATATAATCGCGGGCGCATAAAGAAATATTTTGAGAAAAAATTCTATCAAAAATACCGAACTCCAAGGTAAAAATTCAAAAAGGAGGGAAGATAGTAGTGAGTAGTGAGACGTTTTGGGCATCCTATTGGCACCGAGTTATGTAACAAGAGGTAATTAGGTCTTAAAAAAGACTGACGCAATGACCGGAACTGAGGAGTAAGGGGAAGAAGGGACCCCTACTAAAAACACAAAAAAACTTAATGACTTCATGACTGCATTAAAGTGATAAAATAAAAAAAATACGATAAAGGAGATAAGCAAAAGATGATGGTATTTTTATGATCCCTTTAGTGTTATATCTACAAATCGAACAGATAATGATTTCTCTCTCTCTCTCTCTTATATGATAGGTCTGAATCTAACCGTTGAAAAAAACGAGTTCTTCACGTGCATTGCAAAATATCGTCATCGATAGACTGAAGCAATCCCTCTATGACCTCGTGTAATATTTGTGAACGTTAAATTGATATCGATTAATTTTTTCCCGGGCAAATTTCGTATCGGTGTTGAAAATGGTAAACAGTATTTTTGTTCGGAGTAAAAATTGAGAACACGCGTTTTATCCTTAAGTAAAAATAACATGTAAATCAACGTGAAGCCTTCGGTTTTAGTTGTTTAAATTCAGCATCCCTTATTTGAACACATGATCTTTTTTGTGAAGAGAAAATGAAACGATGAGTGTTTTTCAGTAGTCTGTTTTGAATTTTGCGTTGAACCACTAAAAACGAAGGTTTCACGTTGATTGATATGTTACTTTTACGTAAGGTATTTGATCACTTTAATGCAGTCATGAATGTATTGTTGTTAATTGGTATTCATGAATTATTAACCTTTGTATTTTTTTAGTTGGTTTTTTTGGGTGTTTTATGGAGTCCCTTCTTCCCCCTACTCCTCAGTTCCGGTTATTGCGTCAATCTTTTTTATGACCTCATTACCTCTTTTTTCATAACTTGGTGCCCAATAGCATGCCCACAACGTCTCACTCCTCACTATTGAAGTTCATTAAAACTGACAAAATCAAACGCTATCAATCAACGGAACAAATGAAAAACAACTGCCATATTCCAGACTTAGCATAAGCATTTCCGAAAAAAAATAGTAGGTTAAACCTGGTTTCATAACTTTTAACGAAACCACCCACTTGTGTAAAGATATTTTTACTAAATATTGTGCTTATAAGACTAACGCAATATCATTCCTAAGTGCTTTTAAGAATAAAACAATATAATTCCTATTAATTGTATACATGTTGGATGTGTACCGATCGATATTTTATTCTTGGATGCATGATTTTTTTAATAGTTGTTATTTGCTTTGAACTAGCTGTCAGTAACCGCGAGTACTCTCAGATCTGTACTTAAGTGTCTTTTTGTTGTGGGGACGTATAAGTACCTTGCCACGTCCACTCTGTGTTTTTGTTAGATGCATTTCTGTTTTGTAACGATCTGATGAGATTAGCCCTTTTCGACATATTTTTATAGTTTTTTCTTTTGTTTTAATGTTACACCACTGTCCCAGGTCAAGGGAGGGTTGGCGCGCCTACAAACTAGTTTAACACCGCCGCATTCTGTATTTGCGTGGCCCAAGTCAGGAGCCTGTAATTCAGTGGTTGTTTTTTGATTTCATTTTTTTTTCGTTCATTATTTTGTACATAAATCAGGCCGTTTATGTTCTCATTTGAATTGTTTTACATTTGTCATTTCGGGTCCTTTTATAGCTGACTATGCCATATGGGTTTTACGCATTGTTGAAGGCCGTACGGTGAGCCGTAGTTGTTAATGTCTGTGTCATTTTGTCTCTTGTGGAGAGTTGTCTCATTAGCAATCATTCCAAATCTTCCTATTTTTAAATAGTAATGATGCACGGAAGTATTCTCACTTTCCTATGCAATGAGAGCTAACCTTATGTAGATTTTCCCTTGTTTTCATGTATTTTATCTGTTCAGAGTAAAAGTAAAGACATTAGAGCAAGCAAATTTGAAACAAAATAAAAGAGGCCGCTTAAATTTGTTCACGATGACTATATTTACTGTTTAAGATTTTCTTGTGTAAGTGTTGTCAATGCTGAGTTGTAAGTTTTTTTTTTGTTTTTTTTTTTTATCTCAAAATGGAAAGTTTACAACTGTTTTATGTAGTGATTCAGTTACAAAATGAAATTAAGAGCAATTCATGCGGTTTGGGGTATAGATCATTCTTGAATGTTAAACGTTGGTTGACCCTATGATGATTATCCTTGTTTACTTCAACTCTCATTAGCAACACCGCCATATCCTTGCGTTCATCGTAGTCTAAGCGCTGACTGTTGTAAAGTTTTAACGAAAGAAATCGACAAGTTATGAACTTGAATCAACCCAGGTAAACGTGTACTAGAAGGATAATTCAAGTTCAATCCATGGCATAAGCTGGTTTAATCAGCATTATAAATACACACTTCTGGCATCTTGATAATTAACATTAACTTTATGAAGTTGAAATCCTCCCTTCGTAAATTTTACGGACGCCAGTTGGTTGGCCGTTATGGAATATCCGTTTCACAGATGATAGCGGATATTTTCCAAATGTCGTACCAATAATCTCGTCCCCTATTCCCAAATGTGACCTACCGTAGAAAAGTTATTACTGGATTTGTACTAACGTGAGCAAGACGACGGATGCCACATGTGGAGCAGGATCTGCCCACTCTTCCGAAGCACCGGCGATCACCCCAAGTTTTTGGTGGAGTTCGTGTGGCTCAGACTTTAGTTTTCTATGTGTTTTGTGTTCTGTTGTGTCTGTTTGTCTTTTTTCCTTGAAGCCATGGCGTTGTCAATAGAAATAAGAAAATGTGGCATGAGTGCCAATGAGACAACTCTCATCCAAGTCATAATGTGTAAAAAGTAAATAATTATAGGTCAAAGTACGACTCTTAACACGAATCCTTTGCTCAAACCGAACAGCAAGCTATAAAGGGCCCCAAAAATGACTAGTGTAAAACAATTCAAACAGGAAAACCAACGGTCTAATTTATATAAAAAAACGAGAAACGAGAAACACTTATGAACCACATCAACAAACGACAACCCGTGAACATCAGGTTCCTGACTTGGGACAAATGCAAACAAATGTAGCGGGTTAAAACTTTTTAACAGGCGCCAACCAGTTTATTTTCGACTTATGAGTTTGAATGTCCCTTTGGTATCTTTCGCCTCTCTTTTATACAAATCCACTAAAAATCAATTTATTGGTTTGGGACACTTAAAAAGAAAAGGAAAAAATATATATTACAAAAGAGACACACATTACGTTCCAAAGAGAAATGCACTTTCTGGGAGTTCCATTTTTAATGTTCAAAGGAAATGGTACAGAAAGAAGGTCATGATATAACTTAACTGTTACTGTTTTATTGAATATATATGTAATAAAGCTGAAAGAGACAATAGATGAAAAGAAAAAAGAAAATTAACAAATGAAAAGAAAAAAAGAAAATCAACAAATAGCAGATTATTTCTATCATTATATAATTGAAGCTTCATAAACAAAACCCAGATGAATTTTGCACATTAGTATTGAACAATGTAATAGCTATGATACAGTATACAATAGATATTATGTGTATAAATGTTAGCAGTTAAAGTGAAATAGTTATAAATTGCAATTTTGTAAATATAGACAATGCAATTTCCCACAGGAACTCCCTTTGCGGCTAAAACTGTGCCACTTTTATTAGGAAGTTTCGTGAAAAATCATATCCCAGAACGGAAAGTTGAAATGCACTACTATTTTATTCAAAGGTCAAAGTATAGGGCCGTGCGGCATATTTTCAACATTTATATGCCCTGAACTTCTAAAAGTTTAAACTTATAACAAAATTCTAAACTACCCCTACCTCAACTTTTGGACCTCCTAAGAATTAAATTTTAGGCGCT